AAATTCTCTTTCTGATTTTCCATAAATATAATATTCTATACTTGTTGTATGACAATTTATCAAATATTGTCTTCTTTTCTGTCCTTCCATTTTCTTTATATGTTCTGTTTCATTTCTAAAGTAGTGATAGAATTCAGCAAGAAAATCAGATATTGCTTCTTTTGTTTCCAATTCTCCTAAGGACAATACTGAATGTCCTTGATATAATTTCTGTGTTTCGTTAATTTTAATAATTTCTGAAATATTGGATTTGAACTTCTTTCCACATGCTGGACACATAGTTTCTTCTAATTTCATTAAGATTTTTTGAAGGTATAATTTATATTGTATAAAAGCATATACAATCTTTAAATATCTATAGACATCAATAGCTTCTTTGATTAGTTTGTATGTATCTATTTGGATCATTTTTCTTTTACTAATATTAGGTTCTTCAATTTGATTATACTTTTCATGAATATTTCTAATTTTGTTACATATATCTTTTCCCAAGAATTTAATCATTTGATGGTATCCTCTATTTATTATGTATGGAATTAATTCATATCCCATATCTGTTTCTGCAATGGCAAGTAATTTCTCATTTTGAAGTTTCCACAACTCAAATGGTTCAATTACAATCCATTCTTCATGTTCGTATTTCAACAATTCTTCAAAGGATATGTTTCTTCTATCTGTTCCTCCTGATATTACTTTAATTAATACTTTCTTTCCTTTATATTTAATCATATCTTTGGAGTGTTCTCTGAATAATGGATGTACTCCTTTCTTTTTATTGATTATATTCTTTACCAATGAATATTTATTATTTTCATAAATAACCCATCTTCTAAGATTGTTAATGATTATTTGTATTTTGACATTTTCTTTTAGCATTTTTGCCTGTTGTTTTCTTTCTTCGAGTAAAAAATCAATCAAGTCTGGATTCATAATTACTTCCTTCATTACTGTTAATGAATTAACTATTTCTGAATTTCCTATCATATTATTTTAAATTTTTAAATAATAATTCTTAGTTAATTATCTTCAAGTGAAATATCCTCTATATTTATATCTATTTCATCATCAAGGTCTTCAATAATAAATCTCATCATAGTATCATCTTCTGGTATTGCATCATACTGTTTTCTTAATTTTCTGAATTTTAATATTCTTTCTATTATTCTAGTTAATTTCTTTTCGATTCTCTTTCATCTATATTCTCCTTTTATTACAAGAATAATACTATGGTTTATTCCTTTATAATTATATGTAGGATGTTCTTTAATAAAGTCTAATTCTTTAAATTCTTGTTGGGTTATTTTCTCTGTAAAGATAATATTATTAGTTTGGTTATCTATTTCTATAAGATTGAATGTTACCATTCTTAATTCTTCTTTAAATGTTATTCCAAGTTCTGATTTTGTTGTTATTCCTTTTAATGTATATTCATTATCTTTTAAAATTTGTTTTACTATTTTTCTAGTATTATCATTTTCTTGTAATTTTTGAATATTCATATTATATGTCATATTGTTAATATTTGCAAGTAATTTATTATGTTGATCTTCTGTGATTGATACTTTAAAGTATATAGGGTATTTTAATTTTTGGTTATTATAATTGTTTCCTTGTTATAATATCTTTGTTCTTAAGAATGTTCCATACTCTGTTAATTCCACTGATAATTCCAATGTAATAGCCATTTCTATTCTGTGGTAATTGATTCTCATTTCTACAGTCTTTTTACTAATAATTCTTTCAATATATTCAAAAATATGCTTATTATTCAAATAGTTGACTTTAACTATTACAGTCTCCTTTTCTTTTATTATTTCTCTTGATATATTTTGTTTTTGTAATATTGTTATTAAATCAAATGCTTCTTCAATTATTAATTCTTCTTTGGTGTAGACATATTTGTCTCTGTCAGTGTCATAAATACCAAGTATCAATTGAGCATTATCTAAGTATGGGTCATTATACTGTGAAGTATTTATCTGGAGTTTCAATTCCTCTTTTCCAAAATACTTTCTAAAGATCTTTAATTCTAATTGTTCTGTTGCTTTTTCTTTCATAAATTTTTCAATAGTATTTGTAACTGTTTCATTAAAAGTTTCTTCCCTTATTTGTTCTAATTTTACTCTAAGTATCTCTTTGAATTCCATAAATTCTTTAGTTAGCTTTTCTTTTAATATTGTCATATCCTTTTCATTTTCTAGTGTAATCTCCACTGATAATTCTTCTAGTATATTATGTGATCCAATGGTTCTTTCTTTATTGTTAAACTTGGATTCAGTTACTTCATCAAATCTCTTAAGAGTTCTATGAAGTTCTCTGTATGTAGTTTCTGTAATTTCTTTTTCTATATACACTGATTTAACAAACTTTGATTTTTCTCTATATGCTTTATACTTTATATACTTGTCACTAAAGTTCATCAGAAATGCTCCCAGAATATGGACAATATAATACTTTTTATTTTCATTTATTTGTATTTTTCTTCTTTGTAATGTTGTAAGTATTTTTTGTGATTCAACTATTCTAGTTACATTTTCTCTTAAACCTTGTTATTGTTCTTCATATATTTCTTCTAACCATGATTTAATATCTCTAGTCTTTTCATACTTCATGTTTATCCTTTGTGTTACCCATCTTAACAATATTCCTTCTTGTGTAGCATAAATTTTAATTCCCTTAGATACTAAAATTTCTTTTAATTCTTCAAATTCTTGTATAATTATGGGTATGTTAATAAATGATAATTCTTTTTCTTCCCATACTTTCAGAAGATATTTACT